CCCCAAAACCCCAAAACCCCGAGAGGTAAGAATCGAACAAAAATTGATGATCTAAACAAACTTAGCAAATTAATTAAATCTAAACTTATGATAATTTTGTTTTTTCTCCAATCAAAATACATCAACACCCTCAACTTTATCAGTAATCCAGCAAACTTCAACATCAATTCCACATTCTGTAATGTTGTATATCCAGCATTTCTATTATTCACTTACATTATCGTTCTCACTTTTAACTTCGACAAATTTAATGGCTGCTTTATCTTCTCTCCAAAGAACCAAGTCAGGCATTCCATAACCCCAATTTTTAAAATCCTAAGCTAGTTTTTCGAAAAACATTGCTATTAATGGCCCACCCATGCAATAGGCTATTGAGGCCATCCTCTCTTTTGTTAACTTTATATTATCCCAGTTAACTATGGGATTGTGATAATTCTTGTGCTTTTCATATTCTGATGTCAAGTATTTTTTTATCTCCATTCTAGGCATGTTTATTATACGTTACAGTTTATCATCAATAAGCTTTTTTCTATGAGTATAGAATTCAGGATAGTCAAAGTCTAGTGGCTGGAATTGATAGGTGGTCTAGAATACATAAGGTATATCATCATTAAATATCTCATCCCACATCATTATACCATACATGTACTTCATTAGAGAGTTTTCTACATGAGCCCCATTCCATTTCTGCTTTTGCCCGTAATAGTGCAGAGCCAGATTCTCTACGTTGAAGAACTTATTCGACTTCTTGTCTAAATATACCGATTTCAAGTGTTCGCCATTAAAGTTTCTACGAGCATTAAGAAACACCTCTTTAAAATATTCTTTGTTGATTTTGGATTCACAGGATCGTTGCAGTTAATCATAAGTTGACTTCTTTTCTTTTTCAATTAAAACATCGGGATTCAAGCTTAAATTTAATTCCTTGGAAGTGTCCAAACTTCTTATTTCTGTTATTTATAGGTCAGAAGTCTGACTACAAATGTTACTACTGCTTTTGTCATTTCCAAATATCATAATGTTATTTGTATGGGTTTCTTCATCTATGTCTGATGTCTCATTTTATACATCACCATCAGTTGAGTACTTCTCATCATCTTCGTCTTCGTCACTATACAATTACTTCTTTGACTTTTTCTTTCTTTTCTTGCCAACTTGTTTATCATTGTCTTCTTCATCCGAATAGTCATCAAGAATGTGAACATTTGAGATCCCTCCCTAACCTCCAGGGTTATCATCGTCTAGGAAACTATTTAGCATCGTTATTCGGTTTAATTTTCTTTTCATATCTCTTATAATCCCTTGGGACTAAGCGAATGACTTATTTAATTATTCCATCATGTGAATGTTATCAGTTTTAGAACTTTTCTTCTTCTTGATTTACAGTTTATCCTTCTTTCCTTTCAGCTTGGCCTTAGCCTTACTATTTTTTAGCAACAATTTACCTTACTATCTATTTATTTCGACAAATAAATTGAGTCTTATCTTTAGAATCATATTCTTTTTGTCCCCTTTAACAAACTCATCTCTGAGAGCTAAGTCACAAGTCTTTAGGGCATCGTTCTTATTTTTCATATGCTTTAAATTAACAGCTAGCCTGTGCCACCATTTACCTCTTTGAGTGTAAAATATCTTATTCTGCAGAAGGAAGATAAGTGTAATAGCGCTGATTTGATATTGCTTATCCTTTTCTAAGATTGGAAATAGAGCATCTAAAATCCTGAGATATGACCATTCTGATCTATATCTGTCAATAAATTAATGCTTATCATCTGATACTTTGGTTCCAACTTCCTAAATTAAATTATTAGCAAATCTGACGATAGAATACAGAATCCTAATGAAGTGCTCTTAAGTTGTCAAATAACAAGAATTCTCTGTTATCCTTCCTGTACTCAACCCCTAAAATCCTTAAAGTCCTCTTTATTATTTTAGTCGCCAATTTGCACTCTAAGTCTCTTCTTTTCAAATTTATTGACAAGAAATCAAAGGTAGCTCCAATGATCTAGCTAGATTCATCAAAAGTGATGAAATCATCTCTATTCTAGAATATTGGCTTTAAATTATGATTGTCTGGGTTTCTGTCCTTATCAGAGAGGTAGTTTTAAAATTTCTCGTATCTATAAAAGCCATAATCATGGCCCAAAAGAGTCTCATAGGCATCTTTCTTTTGATAAAAAAAGAATAATCTTAACTAAAAGATGAAAATGGATAAAAGAGGAAACTTACTTACACATCTATAGAACAGTGACCTACTTTTTTCCTCTAAGTAGTAGGTTCTACTATTATCGTTTGCCTTATAAAAGGCATCCAAGATTCTTTCCTTTAACTGATTGTCACCCTTACTAAGCTTCTTACTGATTTCATTAGATAATTTCATGAAAGATAGTAATGAAGAGGCTGCTGTGGTTGCATTAATCTTACTTGAGCCGAATGAATTATCATTTTTCTCCCCAAGAGTATTCATAATTCTACTCATAATCCTATTTGTCATTTTAAGCTTATCAGACATTTGATTATCTCTAAAAAAGAGAACCTTTTTCCCACTCTAGATGTTTTCCTCTGAGATCTACCTTATCCATAATGATATTTTTTAACTTGCTTTTATGCATGTCTCTGCAAGTGGTCCTTCAAAGGTATGTTTAAGCTGGTAAAAGTTATTCACATGAATCAGGTCGAATTCATGAGGCAAATCGTCTCTACTCTATCCTCTAATAATCTTTTTTATTTCAGATTCAAGTATTTTTATGCCTGATATATTAATGCCATTTTCAATTAACTCACTAATCCTCTCAAAATCGTTATCATAAACCACATCTTGGTCATTCCTAACAAAGCCATTTTTATAAAGTCTCTAAACAGAAGTCTCGATTTATTCTGAGTTAGAGGTATACTTAGAGAGAATATGATTATTGAACCAATATCTCCTTCGGAAAAACATACGAGCATATAGAGTTTTCACCTGATTTTCTTGAGCCATAAACAAGTAAATAAGGGATTTCTCATCTTCAGTAAAAAGATTTTCATATTTGAGAACTGTTTAGAGAACCAAGTCAAAATTCCTAACATACCTATTGAAATAATGATCAATCAAAATAGCTTTACCTGTTATCTTCATCGATGGGTTATTTGTAGTTTTAAAGTGACTCTTAATAAGTTTTCTAACTCAAACTTGATGTTTATGAATTGATGATCTCTTCTTTGATACTTGAGAGTATTTCAGTACTAGCTTCAGACTATGATAAGCAGAGTGATTCTGGAGGTACATACTCTTTGAAGTAATCAAAATGTCCAGCTTCCTCCTTTAGCTATGCCTGCTCGAGAATCAGATCATTTTAATCATTATTACTTTTAGCGTAAAACTCGAATCCAACTTCCTTATTGATATTATGAATGTCAATTTATTTAAAAGCTTTCTATAGTATCTTCGGCATACCCCAGAAGTCCTTGACACTGTAGCTACTACAGCCAGACTCTACTTAGTCACTTATAGCACTATCTTTGATTTTTTAATCTTTCAAAATGTGGTCAAGAAAACCTACAGCTATATCTATCATATCAGTCTTAGGCGAGTTTGTAAATTTGCAATCAATCTTGAAATATTCCCTATTCTCATTCAGAATTATTGACATGTTGAAGGAAAAATCTACAGCCAAATAGCCTAGATCAAACTCCTCTATAAGATCAGTCCTATCTTCTTGCCTTGTAGTACGTGAAGCTACCACTTTTATTGCATGATTGCATTTTAGAAGGTTTTTATCTGGCTCGAGGAATATTCAAAGCTGTTGTTGCTGATTCAATTTCTTAATCACCTTGTGATTCTGTTCATATTGCTTTCTGTAGAGGATTTTCTGTCTAAATACCATGGGAAATCTGTAGAATACTTGATTTTTATCAAATTGGCTCTTGGTTGTTGAACTTGTTCATGAACTTGATGCAGACTGATAGTATTCAAAATATTCTGAATCAGTAGCTGAAGATTCTTTCTTAGGGTGGGGCGTCTTAATATTATAGAAGTTCTCTAGACTCTTCTGGTGCTTATCAAGGGTTGAAACACTAGAGCCAGAGCTTGAGTTAGTTAGGGCTGAACTCATAATTTGAATTATATTAGAGTGTAAATATTTGCAAGTGAAAAAGTGTAGTCAAGTATAATAATTAATTAAAGGAATCCTCAGCTTATTAATTGACTTTACTAAC